TCGTCTTCTGTGGAATTGTGTGTTCTCAGCTAGAAAAGAAAAGACGGCGCGGCGACTCATCATCCGTGTCAATGGAGGTATGTTCGCACGACCGTGATCCGAATGCCCCACCCCTCCCTAGTGGGTTGTTAGGCCAACTATTGACCAGCTCGTCGTACTATTCCTCTGCATGCGTATGCGGCTCTTCAGGAAGATACGGTGGCTGAGGAACAAGGCCAAATGTCAGAAGGGCTCTAGTCGTTAGCCTGCCAAACGCAGCAGCAGTACGGAGCACAAGCAATGTCAACACCAGAGCCAGCAACAGGCTTTGCTCACGTTGGTGTGGAAACGGGTCTTATGGACTACTCTGTCTAGACCGGAAGCGTAATTTTTGTGCCTTAGGAGTGACGAAGTCTACCTTTTGGGGGTTCTAGCGACAAATTTTGGCCATCAATGGCCGATAGCCAGAGTACATGCTGCAAACTGGACTAACAGCGGCACCAACAACAGTAAATCGGTTTTTAGGGTTTTACATATCGGTTATGGCATGTCAGGTTGCAACGTAAGGCATAGTAGTCAGCTGTATGGGCCCCTTTCTAGTAGAGAAGTGCAGGGCAGCTAACTGCCCGTGGCAACACGGTGCGCCTTGAGGGACTCCGGGAACTGGTGGCAAGTTTCGGCACCTTTGAAACGGGAGGACGCATGGGAATGCAGAAGAGAGAAAATAAAAAGACAATGCCATCTGGAACTGCAGAAGGAAAAGTCGGGGTGCCAACAACATGGCTTACCACTGGGCCAGTCACCGTTTTTCCCCACTACACACGAGGGTCCAACGAACGGCATTTCGTGCAAGGCACTGTTGTACTAGAATTACAATATTCACAAGAAAGCAGTTGGGCAACTCGCAGTGGTCATGGCGCTTCANCACTGTTGTACTAGAATTACAATATTCACAAGAAAGCAGTTGGGCAACTCGCAGTGGTCATGGCGCTTCATATGATGGATGCTTGCTCTGAGAAACGAAAGGACTCCGTTGCAAAACGCACTGGCTAATATTTGTTGCTTGCCGGCAATACTGCACCTGGAGAGTGTATGAAGCTTGCCGGTGTACTTATAACTGGACCATCGTTGCAGCTCTAGCTGGACAAGGGAGAGCAAACATACCTGCTAACCCTATCCACAGCACCTTAGATAAGTGGTGATCAATTTACTGTGATGCTAACGGCATATCCGTTAGAAAGAGTGAACTTATCTAGTAGCTCGAAGACCTGACGCTCTGGAATAGTATGGGTAAGCACATGGGCTAGCGGTCACTTCCTATGGCAGCAAAAGGTTGTCTTTACCCACTTACTGGTTTATTGAGGCCGCTTGAACGGAAAGCAAATATTTTCGTCACGTTGGAAACTTGCTTCTATGTTCATCGCGTGCTGTCTGCGAGTGGTGGGTCTGACATTCTCCGAATTCAGTACGGGAAGATCCACGTTGTAGGCTGTCTGTAAACAAAATACACATGCTCAGTAAGCGCCTACGGAGACGATGCCTGAAGCAAAAATATCTTGTTTGTTCCTGCATGTGACGCTGCCGTGTACCATTAGTTGCAACGAGGTATGCTGCAGCACATGTGAGCCTGCCTCCTCTCCCGCAACCGCAGTCCCTCAGCCGGTGCGCCCAGGCCGCCTGGCGATAACGGAAGAAATGCGACTCTTACGGAAGTTTTACCTTCAATTTTGCGGATTGATTGCAGCTGGCGACCGCCATCAAATAAGTCCGAATTCCCGCAGCAGGGCAGCCTAGTTTGCAGTGGTGCTTGGAAAGAAGCACCGCAAAACATCTTTCTAGTATATCTGCCAACCCCCTGCCCTTTGCTCTTACATCGGAGAGATCAATTTTAATCTGCTCTGAGGTGGGGAGGCGGCCAGCGACCCGGAGCCTCAACCCGAGAGACAAGTGCGATGTTCACATTCCATGCGAACATGGGATGCAAGTGCATCTTCACCAAGAATACTTGAGAAAGAGCGCGTCAGCATCCTCCAACCATCCAGATATGACGGGCGACGAGATTTGGGAGTAGTGGAGGACTTGAGCGATCCCGCGGCCTATGCCTTCCACTCCAAAACTCACCGGAAGAACTACAGTCACAATTGGTTTCTTTGAATGTATGACGATTGTGGCTACATATAATCAAATGTTCAGCTCCCTACGAGGCGATCAGGTCCATAAACGTCTCCCGAGATGCTTTGCGATGCAGGCGTATCCCCAGGTCTGCAAGGGAACTGGCTATGGCAAAATTGAGAAAGTTTATGCAGGGGAAGCTGATCTGGCGCTACATCGGGAAGTATTAGTCCTTGATGAACAGAAGTCCATTGGCGGAACGGGAACAGCTGTACAAATGGTTCATAGCACAGTTGTCCCCCGGAGAGGCGCAGCCCGAACCCGAGTGCGCTGCGGGCAGGGAAATGATGAGTCAAATTGTCGAGCTCGCTGAGATGATGAACTANCCGAACCCGAGTGCGCTGCGGGCAGGGAAATGATGAGTCAAATTGTCGAGCTCGCTGAGATGATGAACTACGTTCGCATAAAAGAAAATAAAGCTGCCACTTCTACAACCGTCTCTGAGAAGGAAGAAAGCAAATTTAGACAGATTGATGGCGTTTTTGATACTAGAGTTGTGAACGCCTATACAGCGCGGAAGGGGATTAGAAGCGGTAACGACAGAACGTAGCGCGTTAGACACCCAGAAAGCTGGAAGGGCGTACCGAGTGGCATATCGACTTCTCTTGTACTAGATACGGTCGTATGATTCGAGATTGAAGCCAAGCATAGAGTAGCGCCTCCAGGTGATCAAACCAAGTGAACAGGGGAACCGGGCCTCCGCTCAAGATGATTGAGGCAGAAATATTCGCTCCCGCAGAACCATGTTGAACACACCTCTTTCTACAAGTTTGAAATGATGGTCAGGGGTTCCTAACACTCCTTGATGCTGGATGCAAACTGGGACTGAGCTCGGTGACCACGATGCGGGGGTGCAACCTAACTGTTTAATCGTTGGCGCACTGTGTGAGACTATGTTTCGCGTATGGCAGGCAGGAGAGGAGAATCTGTGAGAAATTCCCCTTCAGAAGCGCCAGTGTAAGGAGAGTTCGGGGCCTTACGGATAATGCGGCCCTCAGAACCTGATCCCACTCACGTCAGTAGATGCACTAGTCCCTCCCAGCAGCTCTGCATCTTTTGCTCCCAACGACAACACAAACGCAGATGAAAAACACAACTTTGAGGCGTAGAAGGGATCCATGTTCCCTCACACTATGGGGTGATGGGATTCCATAACACTCTAGGTACCGCAGGCCTTGTAAGCTGATGAGAAGTGGGGGAGAGCCCTCAATTCCCTCATGCAATTGCTGAGATCTGGTCAAGATAACTTAGAGTATTTACCTTTCGTACAAATATTTGCAGCAAGCTTTACGTATTATTAGGTTGTATCTCTGAA